GGGGGGGAATAATGGCCAACTGTTCTTTAGACACAACGAAGCCGTTTAACCACAGTGTCTCGCCATGATGCCACAGACACACGCCACTTGTAACCAGCAGGGGTGGACAAAATATCAGGAACAGGAACAGATCAGTGCTGCAAGAAGTGTGACACTGTGAGTCGTGAACGGCAGAGTTACGGTTTGTATCATACAAGAAACATGTGTGAGAGGAAACAGTGAGTGAAGCATTCATCACGTTGAAGGTCCTGATCTGTGCAGCTTATCCTCTTTTAAAGGAACCAGATCTGATCTTCCTAAAGATCCTTCAAACCTCACACAGCTTCAGCCCAAAGTACTAAAACTTTTTATTGTTTGTTGTGATGAAAGAAAAATGTGTGAGTTCAGACAGCAGGGGTGCTGCTGCTGCACTAGTCAACATCAACTAAAAACCTTAGTTTCCTGATATGTTATTTTTATTTTGATTAGGTTTTTTTTAATCTGCAGACGAACACAGTACAGGAAGCTGAAGAGCTGACTGGCTAAATCTGTCTCACGTGTGGCGTTCCACAGGGTTCAGTCCAAGATCCTCTGATGTTTCCTGTTAAAATATTTCCTAATGTAACACTCAGTACTTTGTTTTACTGGTTTATAAAAAAAAAATCTGACATCTGAGATGACTCATGATTGGCTGCTTTCACACAATAACTTAGGAAGTGGTGTCTGAGGATATGCATCACTTCCTGTCAGAGTGCTGAGTCAAACAGCAGGTAAACAAAACATCTTCTCCCTCTGCGGGGAAGAGAGTAGGATTAACGTGGAGCGTCATTGTTCCTGCACACCTCGAATGCCTCATTCTAACAGGAATAACCCCTCGTTTCCCATAAGCTCCTTTTACCTCCTGAACCCCGACCACAAGCACGGAAACAAAATCTATAATCTGTCGGCGTGATCGATCAGCAGCTGCACAATGAACAAGTACAGTGACATTTACACCTACAGATTAATCATCTCCTTATTGATAAGCATGTTTCCTCAGCTGGAGGCGTGTGTGTGTTAATCTGGAGTAATGGGGATTAAAGTTGTGAGTTAATCCATCACAGATTACACACTGGAAACAACAACAGGAGAAGCAGAGCTGAACACTGTGGACCTGAGCCACTGTAATCTGCACAGGTGAGCTCACTTTAAAACACCAGCAAAGTATAAACTATATTCCGCACAGTGGCCATACTCTCAGGTACGCCCAGGACTACTGGCCTCACGTTACCTGTTACTCAGACTCACACCTGCTGACAAACAGCTTTATTTGACGTGTTTTTCTTAGCTGATGTCGGTGAGCCTTGTGGCCAGTCGTCACTCACTTCTCCCGTTTTTAATAATCTGGGTAAATGTTGATGTTTCACACTGTGATGAGGCTTTCAGTGATTACCGTGCTCAGGGTTTCTGTTATTGAAGAACTCCTCTGATGTTCTAGTTAATTCATGTATGAGTATTTAGGTCAGTCGTCCACGGAGACAAACCTGCTGCACACACACTGAGGTCTGACAGACAGCAGCTAGCACATGTTCATACCAGCGTTTCATAAACATGAACATGCACAGCTCTCTGAGTTAGAGCTGTGGGACAGACGGCCTCACGCTTACTCCACTGTGTTTACAGAGAAGTTGATGGTCCACTCTGATCATCACCGCTGGTCTGAGGTGTTTGATTCTGTCCATGATGGACCAACACCTGCACTCTGGTTATGTCTGTTCCTCTGGGCTCTGTTCAGGTGCAGCTGTGCTGCCCTGTTCTTTCACAGAGGAGAGGCTTTCTCCTGTGAAGTCCTTCCAAGCAGTCGTACCCGTTCAGTCTGATTCTCAGAGTGCTGTCATGAACTCTGACCTCAGAGTAGCAACGATGTGCTGAAGTACGTTGTAGTTTCTCCACCTCAGAGCACGTCAGTAAGATCCAGCGAGTGCGAACAGCCGGACTCCAAACTTCACCTCCTCACACACAGGAGCCAGTCTGAACCAGTCCTGTGTGGACCAGAACTGCCTCAAACCAGTTTAAACAAAGCAGCATGATGATGTCATCGCGATAACCCCACCACCTATCTTATGCAACACATCAGCTGGTTCCCATAGTGATTAAGAGGCAGGTGACTTGAGATCATGTTCAAGTCTGACACACACACACACACACACCTCCTGCTGGGATCAAAAATAATCAATAAGAACTACTCGGCAGACTGAATCTAGAGACTTCAGTTCCCATGATGCTCTGGGGCATGGCTGCCACATTCAACTGGTTTGAATCACACAATCAGGTTTAATCAGCATGTTTTCTACCTGCTGCTCCTACACGGAGTGATTTGATTGGCTGTTAAACAGAAAGGTAACCTTCACACAGTTGTTTCTACAGCTGATCCAAGTCAGAGACCAGATTCCTACACAAAAAGCTGAGTCACCTCTGCAAAAAAAACATCTCTCAGCACTTCACCCTTCACTTGCAGAAACACCTGAGATTTGTGCTGAAACTCTAGAATCCCAGCCTACCTTAAAGGGAGCGAGAAGCAGAACCCAAAAGAGGATGTCTCCAGACCGAGTCTCTTCAGGACTGCCAGGTCTCACTGATCCACCTGCCACCCTGATGCCAGGGGGTGGAGCCTAATCTAATTAGGCTCAGAGTAACGTGGAGCACCAGATGCCACGTGCTGGTGACTGACCTGCCCTCACACACACAAACACACGTCTCATTTTGATAGCTTAATGAGGACATCTAATTGACATAATGTTTTCCTGCCTAAACCTAATCATAACCCTGACACTAAAACTGCATTCTGAGTCTCAAAAATGTCTTCAAACCCATGGGGACAACCGTTTTGGTCCTCATAAGTAACTGTTTATACAAAGACACACACCCTTACCCACACACACACAGTCTCTTTCATTTCTCTTTGTTCAGGTTTAGTTTTAGAAACATCACTCTAATTTTTTATTTATTTTATTTGTTATATTATTGAAAATCAGATTATTGTAAATATTAAAAAATATATTAAATGTTTTAATTATTTATTATAATTATTTCAGTTATTTTTTCTTTTTATTTATGTGGGACCTTTATTTATGTTATTATGTTTTTTTATTTATTTATTTTTCACTTTTTCAATTCATTTTAATACTTTTACTTTGCGAACTGTAATTTTGTACATTCAGTGTTCTTCATTCTCAGGTTTTTATGTTATTGTTTACAGTCATTCAATTAATTATTAAAAGATTTGTTTTTATTATTGATGTTTATTTTCTTTTTATCATGAGTTGGTGGATGTTTTTTGTTTGTGAACGTGGCTGATTTTAATCTTGCTTCTGCTTTTTCACTTTTTGCTCTCCTGCAAATCGGAGCACCGCGCCTCGAAGGACGCAGCGTTCAATTGCAGCTTCGTGTGCGTGCAAACAGGAAACAACAGGCCTGACGTCACTCTGAGGACAGACAGCCTTTGTCCTCCAACAGTGCCGCCAGCTCGCTCCAGCACGCAGAAGAAAGACACCTCACATCCACTCTCGCCA